GGGGGGGAAGGGGCCGATGGAGGGGGTCCATCGACTTCCAATTAATGCACTTGTAAATCATAAATCGGATGCATCCGAATAAGGCTTCTTTACATGACATGAAATTTAGGAAATTTGCAGCACGAAACAGCCGTGGAAAACGGATTCGCAGAAGGATTTGCTGCGAGCTCCCCCCTCAGCCTCTGCCTACTTCTAGGGTTCGGATGTATCCGACACAACCGAAGATGCACATTGGATTCAACTCCCATCTCTTCTGCACATTGTCTTCTTTATCAAACGAAGACACTGATCAACTCGCAGAACATCTCAGTTCTCCATCACTATTGCCCACGACGTGGTTCGGATGGATTTGAACCACATGTAAGGACATTCCCCGTTCCCACATTCATTAACTACGGTTCATGTAGGTCCCTGAGTTACCACTCTTACCATGACATGTGATTGTGGGAAATACTCTGCATGAAATAGTTCGTAACGTTCGCTTCCGCCTCCGCCAATGGCGGAGGCAGCGGCGGAGGCGAAGTTCGGATGGATCCGAACCACACTGAGGGTGCGAGTCGTGTTGCGATGTTATTACCCACACAAGTAGAATTCGCCACTAAATGTCCCTATGTTGATCCTGGTGTCTTGTGAAAACTTTTCGAATTTTTGAAACTAAACTAGGATGTAATGGGTCGTGACACGGCACAGAGACCACGAAGACGTCAGTGACCTCCGAACTCCGTCTCCGTTCATAGGGTGACATCCAGGTTCGGATTCATCTGAAGCACGTAAGACTGTTCCATGCTCGAAATTGATGAAATGTGTGCAACTGACCGTTTCATTCTCCCAAACTAATGAAACGATTGCAACTGAACAAATTACAATCGTGGTTGAATACTGGGATGACCACCCGGCTAACTCCTACCGTTCAAGCCGGAGCAATAACATTTCAATCATAGATGCTCGTTTTGTTTGCGTCGTGTGTTTCCCGCCCACGGTATTCACGAAGAACATGCGGCCCCGCCAAAACCTTTCGTGTGTGCGGAGTTTGTGGGACGAGGACGAAATCCAACCTCGTTTGTTTTCATTTCGGTGAAAGACATTTTTTTCGTTCCATGTTCGCAGAAAACGATTTACTCGACATTGCACTCGATCCTCATTCTCTAACTGAACTACGTCGGGGAAGGTTTTGTTGTCCATAGCTTCACAACCGGAGGAATACCATGGGGCAACGTTCGAACATACGCATTGGATTCATATTCCATCTGTTCTGAGTATGGACTTCGGTATCAAACGAAAACACTGGTCAAGTCTCTGTTGCCTATCACTCTCGTCCATAGCGTGGTTCGCATGGATCCGAACCACATACAGGTTGTCCCCCATCCCACACTCATCAATCACGGACCCTGTAGGTGGTAACTAACACTCTTCGCATGACATGCGAACCTGGTTTGCTTCCCTTTCAATGACAGACGTCAATTTCGTTCCGTGTTGGCAGAAAACAATGATCTACTCGGCGCTGCACCGGATGCTCATTCTCGGGCTGAACGACGTCGAGGAAGATTTTGTTGTCTATAGCATTAACGTCCCGCCAAGACTACTAACCCTCGTCACAACCGGAAGAGTGTTTCCGTTCCGATACGAGTACATTTGGAAATGTACCAAGGGGCAATGAAAGATGTTCGTCATTGTCACGAGATTCACTGACGTGGATTTGTATGACGTAGGCGTCTACGAGCGTCGAGGAGAAAATTGGTGGTTGGCGGACTTCGGTCTGATCTATTCCAAAGCTATAGAGGTTGTTCATGTTACGAAACTTGCTCGGTATGACACCGGCAAATGATTGTGAGCTCCTCGGCCGAAGTTGCGATGTTTGACCACAATAGTTTGCCTCAACTGCCAGTCCCAATGTGCTTTATTGATGGTTCTACTTGGAAACCATTACTCAATCCTATTCGAAGGGGATTCGTCCGGGTCATATGACTTCGAGGTGAAGCTTCCTCTGCGAACTGGAATGTGACTGTCATCTTCATCTCCATATCCATCATGGTTGTTGAAGCAGGATTGTTGCAATACATTCACGTCTCGGATGCATCTAAGTTATGGCTCACACGACCACTTCTGCTCTGTGAAATCCAGTAAATGTTTGGCCCTGCTGAAATATGCATATGTCGAATATGTTTCCCAAAGTTCGGTGTTTGGTATTGGGCGCCTTCATTTTCGTGATTCACACCACTTATGAACTATGTGTCCGATTTTGAATTCAACGCGGGTTCCGCCTTGAATTATTCAATGCACATTGAATTCGTGTTGAATCCCCGTTTAAATGCCCGTTAGACGGGGAAAAACGGGGTCCGCAATGATTTTTTTCCTTAGCTAAATATAATCGAAAAAAAAATAAAAAATACATGTTTGTAGATCTTTTTAAGGTCTACAACTTCATTTTTTTATATGTTTTTTTTAGCTTTGAATATAATTTAATAAAATCAAAAACATAAGCACAATGAAAAAAACAAAACCAAAAAATGACACCAGTTTTTTTTTTTTTTTTTTCAAAGAGATTTTTTTAAGGGCTAGAACAAAGACAGAAAATAAATAAAAAAATATAGGGTTGTAGATCTTTCAAATATGTACAACAATATATTTTTGGTTGTTTTTAATTTGAACTTTGTGTATTTAAAAAAAAATCAAAACCATAAAAAACGAATCAAAAAAGGAAAAAAAGACGCACACACACACAGACACACAACACACACAAACACATAAATACACACAAACAGACACACAACACACACAAACACACATAAACACACACACACACACACACACACACACACACACATACACACACACAACACATATTGGGGGATGTGGGGGCAGATTTCTCAGGGTTTGGCTGCAGTACTCACCAAATGTGCATGGGTAGGGT